GTGAGTGAGGTAGCTTCTCCAGCAGAGGGACAGAAGGACAGAAGGACTGCTGGTCAGACTGCTAGGCTGGTCAGGAGATAGGACGCTTAGTGACAAGCTACCTTCATGGAGTCACTTCTGGGTTTCATTTAGTTTTGGAGTGTCTTAGTTTTTGTTTTGAGACAGCGTCTCCAGTAGCCCAGGCTGGTCTTGAAGTCCTTGTGTAGCTGAGCTTGGATTTAAGGGATTACACTCTCTGGTCTTCCCGCCTCAGTTGGGCCTTACCCGAGTCATCATTTCATCTGCCTCCAGTTTCTTTTTCTGAGTGATAGCTCTTGATTAGAAACAGATATTTCAGGCTGGAGAGATGGCTCAGTAGTTAGGAGCACTCGTTCTTCCAGAGGACCCAAGTTTCAGCACTCATGCTAGACTGTTCACAACCATCTGTAACTCCATCTCCAGGGAATCTGACACTGGTGCCTGCAACTCGTGTGCACAGGTACATCACACATACAAAGATGGGATTTAAAAACAATAAACTCCCCAGATTTCTCCTCAAGTTTTCCCTTAGGAACAGTTTTGTGTTGTTTTTGCTTTTGCTTTCTTTTGTTTTAAACTATGGTGTAGATGTCAGTGGATTTCAGACCATGTCCCCTGTTGTCAACAAGGGCCCCTATGTGTGAGGGACACAGCCTTAGCTGAGCAGCCTCCGCCTCTGCCTCGGGTGGACGCTGGAAGCTGCACTCCTCCATTGTGGATGCAGCCGCTCTCTTCCTTTGTTTACAGGGTAGCAGCTCGTCCCAGCTCCAGTCCTGGACTGTCCAGCCCTCTTTTGAAGTGATCTCAGCTCAGCCGCAGCTCTTTGTCCTTCATCCACCTGTGCCATCTCCTGTCAGCCCATGCCAGCCTGGTGAGAAAAAGTCAGAATCCAGAAACTACTTGCCCATTCTAAATTCTTATACCAAAATAGCCCCCCACCCAGGCAAAAGGGTCCTCAACTCAGAAGACAGAGGAACAAGTGGGTTACCAAAGAAGATCTGCACAGAGAGACTGGGGCTAAGCTTGTCTTCCAGTGAGCCAGCCAAGACTGGCCGTGTGCTATCTAGTCCTTCCACTCCAGCCCCACCCAGCTCCAAACTCACCGAGGACTCAGCTCTGCAAGGAGTCCCCTCCCTTGGGGCTGGCGGAAGTCCACAGACTCTTCAGCCTGTGTCCAGCAGCCATGTGGCTAAAGCTCCCAGTCTGACCTTTGCTTCACCAGCCAGTCCTGTGTGTGCATCAGACAGCACTCTGCATGGCTTAGAGAGCAGCTCCCCCCTCTCTCCACTGTCAGCCAGTTACAGTTCACCTCTGTGGGCTGCGGAGCACCTCTGTCGTAGCCCAGACATCTTCTCCGAGCAGAGGCAGAACAAGCATAGGCGCTTTCAGAATACGTTAGTGGTCCTCCACAAGTCTGGTTTGCTGGAAATCACTCTGAAAACCAAGGAGTTGATTCGTCAGAACCAAGCAACTCAGGTGGAGCTGGACCAGCTGAAGGAGCAAACCCAGATGCTTATCGAGGCCACCAAGAGCAGGGCTCCTCAGGCATGGGCCAAGCTGCAGGCATCACTGACATCTGGGTCCAGCCATTCAGCCAGTGACCTAGACACATTGTCTGATCACCCAGACATATAGCACAGAAGCATTTTCCAGTAATTGGAGTTTAAGTCCTTTGCTACACTTGTTTTCCACAGCCTGTTTAAGAGCTTTTCTTTCTAAACTCACCCACAAAGCCACGAGCCCGTCCCTGACTGCTGTCTCAGTCTGTGGTCTATGCACAAGTTAAATGTGTTTAAGTTCCTCTGAGGACCTCCAGCTGAAGGTATCTGTGAGCCCCTTTTCCTTAACCTGCAGGCACTTAGCTGGATCATGGGACAAAGGAGAGATGGCTGTATGTGTTTCTTCCAGCTGTTACCTCCCATCTTCCTCCTCACTGTCCAGGATCAGGGTACAGTGACATGGATGGGTGTACACAGTGACACTTATCCAACCAAGGAGTAGGTGACCTAAGGATCTCTTCACTGTCCTCCCTCAAGTATGTTAGTCACGGAGAAAAAGAAGAGGATCTGTTTTCATTCTACCAGGTGGTGTGCCTGTTGAGTGAAACCTAAAATGCTTTGGGCACAGGTGCCTGGGTGCAAGCCTTTACCACGTAAGGCTTTGTACACTCCAAAGTTAAAGGAGGAAGGGCAAAGCCGTCTGACTCACACTGATCACACAGATCTCACTTACACAAGTAGGCAATACTTCAGAGTTTTAAAATATGGAATGGATTTAAAGCTGTCTGGAATTGTGTTTGATGAATTGCTTTTTTGATTAAGGGTCAAAGAAGCCAGCATTTTTGGTCACTAGCTGGAAGGTTTTGTTAATTTATACTTGAAATAGCACAACCTATCTAAAAGGCTTGAGATGGGGCTGCAGGATGGCTCAGTGAGTAAAGGTGCTTGCTGCCAATGCCTGAATTTGATCCCTCTGAACCCACAAGATAGAAGGAGAGAACCCACTACTGCAAATTGTCCATTACATGTGTGTGCACACGCACGCACACACATGACAAATAAATGAATATAAAATTAAAAATACAAGCTATCATCAACATCAAAACAGGTAAAGTAATCAAAAGCTTGAGATGGCTTCAGTGGCTCCTCAGGGTCTAGTGTAAGTCCACCCTCTGCTGTCTCTTGTCTGTACCTCACCCAGCTGTTTCCATGAGAGAAAAATGATTGTGCTTATAAATGTAAGTTAAATAAAGCCCCAAGGCCACAACAGTCAGAAAGGATCATCCCCTGTTTTCATATCTGGGTTCTCACGCATGCCCTGTGATGATGGGGGCCACCGTGGAGCGAGCGGTCTCGCATCTCATGTTAGATGTGGGCAGCAGAGATGAAGTGTGATGTCCTTCTCTAGGACTGGTCTTAGGATGGAGAGCCTGAGGGGTTTCTGTGTCTTCAGCTTCCCTGTGCTGGTAACTAAGGGTCTAAGTGGTAAAGATCCTCTCTTAAAATTTTCTTCCTCCTGGAAATCTTTGTTCTTTACAAATTAACGTGGTTTTTATGACCAGTGTCTTTTTCTGCAGAGAGGATGCTCTTGGGGCTCGACTAGGTCCAGAGTTAAGGATCATATTGATTACAGAGTTGGTTGTAATTCTAACATAGTTTAAAAAGTGTAAGACTCAGGTTGGCTCTACTGTGCTCATAAAGATATATGATTTAGATATGACTGGTTTAAAAATAATCAACTTGGTAAAATCTCTATTCTTTGGTCAACATAGAATTATTACCTGCTGTTTGCTTTCTGAAAGTTTCCAAAATCAGAGTCAGTTTTTCTGGGCAGACTCAGCTCCTCGTGATGTACTTCCCCTAAATCTGTATGGTATTGTAGCCATGCTGCACTCCACTAGGAAGCATCCTTTCTGGCAGAATGTTTGGCAGGAAAGCTGTAGAGACAGGTGCATTCAGAGCTGCCTGGGCACCGGCCGTGAGTCTTACTGTGTGTCAGAAGGCTGGAAGCACTTGCTGGGAGCCAAATGTACTCTCCACTGAAAAAGCCCTCTGTGGTGCTGTAAGCCTCTTGGACTCTTCCTCCTAGATTCAGGTTTTCATTTCCCTTCCTGTCCCCATAAAAGATGTTGAAAGCCACCATGGATCCTCACTGCTGAGTGGTGGGAGGGTTAGCCCCCTCAAGTCACTGCTCCTCTGTGATCTTAGAGGCACAGCTGCAAGTCTCTAGGCTATGAGCATATCTCTGTTCCTGGTGCAGCTGGAAGCAGCTGGACCCCAGTAGAGAAGCTAGATCTTAGAAGGAGCGCGCCTTTGAGGCCAGAGGCAAGACCGGCACTTGGAGGAAGTCCGGATTGGAGGAAGAATCTTCATTGGTTACCCAAGGCTGTAAGTAGCAATGGCCTTAGTGCATGCTATGAGCTCTTATGAAGCATTACGTAGGGCTGTTGTTTTCCCAAGGCGAGAAGTCAATTTTAACTCGGATCGACCCATAGGAGACCCTTTGTCAGGTTGTATTGGCAATATTGAAACACATTTAGAAAGGTTCCTAACTAAAATTGGTTATATAATTTGCTGTTGTTTGTAATTTACTCCACTGTTTTTATTGATTATGGTATCATCTAACTTTTCTTCTCTAGTGTGAGTCCTTCAGCAGACAAATTACTCTTGCACATATACTGAAGTGGTTTTTCGGCCACATCCTCCTTAGGGTAGAGACTATTTACCAAATGTGAATTCTTCTAAGAAAGTGTGAAGTTATGTAGAAATTGACTGTGAAATGTCAAAGAAAAAAAAAATAAAAGTCACTTACTTGAAAGCTATTTGCTTTGTAACTGCTTAAAATTTCTAAGGCCTGGGCCTGTAGCCATGGGCAGAGTGCTTGCCTAAGGTGTGTAAGGCCCTGGGTGCTGCCCCTAGAACCACTGCCCTGGCTCCCACTTCCTCAAAAACCCTCAATGTTTCAAACACTGTTTTGTGTTGTTTGCGATATGGAATTGGATGCTGAGTGTTGGAGTCCGTCCAGACTCTTTGAGTGCTCTGTATAGTGGCCTGAATAGTCTGCCAAGCTTGCAGGCTTTTAATGCTGGACGTGGACGAGCAAGAAGGCCGTCAGTGGCTTCCTCCGTTTGGCATGTCACAGAGAGAACTCTGAAATGGCAAAACGGCTATGGTTTCATACTGGGATGAAGTAAAGTTGTATCAAGTGAAGTTCTTGCTACAGCAGAGGGGTCCTTAGCAAGTATTCTCAGCTTCCTCCTCTGCTGCCTCCAGGGATATGTCTTCCCTGCTGCCCTGTCTAGCTGATAACTGCTTCCTGGCATGTTTGACACTGGGAGTATAACAAGCTTGCTCTCATGAAAAGATCTGCAGGGTTGGCAGTGTGAACTCCTGTAGAAGTATTTCTGACTCACACAGTGGTCTCAGTGACTTCACAATATGGTTGTAAGGCCATTAAAATGGATAAAGATGGCTCAAGAAGGCCCTTCTGAAATAGAGACACCATCCGCCAGAAGTAGCGTTCATAAAAGAGAGTGTGAAAGGTGACCCTGCGGGTCTTGGGAGAGCCCTTCTAGGACTGCCTGTTTGTGAACATGCCTGTTTAAGCTGGATCTCGGAGGCTTCCACAGTTCTTAGTCTGGTGCAGAGGAGACAGAAGCCTGGTATTTGTGTTGTTTCTGTTTAATTTTTTTCCCATGATGCTGAAAATTAAACCTAGAGCCTCAGGCATGGTACTGGGTTAAGTCCCCTCCATACCTATTACTGGGTGACTTTGGCTAACTCAGTTTTCGAGCTGAATAATAAAGAGCTAATTACCTCTAAGGCTCTCCCCAGCATCACCTCTTGTGACATCTGTGGTAACGGGTCAGCAAGACAGCTCAGTGAGTACAGGTATTCACTGCCAAGCCTGATGGCCTGAGGTGTCCACCGAGAACTGGCCCCTGAAAGTTGTTTTCTGACCCCCACGTGTACCATGGCGCACACTCCCCTGCCCTAAACACACAAGTAAATGAAATATAATTTTAAAAGGTTTCGTCTTTAGGAAAGATCTGTAACTGCATTAGGTGGCATAAATAAAATCACCAGACTCAAAAAGAACTAATGTGAGGACCTTAGAAAATGGGTTGCCTGAGTTCTAGTGAGGCAACGTTATATATAGTAGTGAGTGTCTGGTTGGATCTTACGTCTGGTATGTGACTCCAGACAAGCATGCCTTTCTCATAAGTACCTGATTACAACTTGCATATCCACTCAGTCCCATATAAAAACCACCTTCATCCAGATGTGGTTGCCCAGGCCTTTAATCCCAGCACTCAGGAAAGCAGAGACAAGTGGATCTTTGTAAATTTGAGACCAGCCTGGAAAACAGAGAGTTCCAGAACAGCCAAGGCTACACAACTGTCTGAACAGCAACAAAACATTGCATTCAGACTTTTTTTTTTAAAATAATGTTTTGGGCCAATGTCTTGCTATATATAGCCCAGACTGGTCTTGAACTTCTGGCCCTCTTACCTCCACTTCCCATGGGAGACATAAATCTATCTATCTATCTATCTATCTATCTATCCATCCATCCATCTATTTAGTTCTGAACGTTGAACCTAGGGCCTATTAGACAAGCACTTTGCTGCATTGAACTACATGCCTAGACTTTCAAACAAGGAATATTTGTGTACATGTGGTATACACGTATGTAGATGAGTGCTCAGATGTCCTCCTCTGCCCTACTTTGTGTTATTCCCTTAACACAGGGTCACTCACTGAACCTAGAGCACTATGATTTTTGGCTAGACTGGTGGCCAGCAAGTCTCTGTAATTCTGTCTCCACCATGCACTGGTGCTGGGTTTGCAGGCACACATAGCCACACATAGCTTTTTACAAGGATGCCGGGAATTTGAACTCAGAAGCACTCTTACCCACTGAGCCATTTCTCCAGCCTCATGTTTTTTTTTGTTTTGTTTGTTTGTTTTGTTTTCAAGACAGGGTTTCTCTGTGTAACCCTGGCTGCCCTGGAACTCACTCTATAAAAAAGACTGGCCTCAAACTCAGAGCTCTGCCTGCCTCTGTCTTCTGAGTGTTGGGATCAAAGATGTGCTGGCTCAAATTCTTATTAGCTAAAAGTAAGGGCATTTGGGATTAACTTACATCATGTTCTTTGCTGGTCAGCTATCTGCAAACAGGCCTTTCATCTGAGATGAAAGGAATGAATTTTATTTTATTTTTTTCAATCTTTTTAGAGCGTATCAGTTCGCTTTTTATTTCCTTTTAGACTTCTCTTCCCACAATCAGGGATGATGTTTCTCCCATGTATTGTCAGGAGCTGCAGACCGAGTGAACATTTTCACTGTCAGTAGTCAAGGCTACACAGATGCTATTCCGATTTGTGAGGTCTTTTATTCTTGTCCCTGCCTTCAGGTGTCGCCTTTTGTCTGCTCGGAAAGAGAAGGGAGATGAGAAGAGCCTGTAGCCTGGCACAGGCAGAGCGGTTGAGATAGGAGCACCCGAGTGCCTGGCTCTTGTAGCTTTTATCTCTGGTACCTTTAGTTGAGAACAGGGTGGGACTCTGTTGAGAACAAGGTTGAGATGGTAGCGTGAAAGAATGTCATCTTAGGCTTTAAAATTGCAGAGCAAAGCCACCTTCACTCGTGCAAATCCTGTGATGGAATTCAGCCTCAGAAAGGCTGTCACTTGCTTGGGGGTAATTAAGGCTCTACTGCCAAAATGTGTAGTTATAGTTAACTCCAAGAGAACGAATGGCAACTCAGAATGGTTATTCTGCCTGGCTTCCTGGAAGGACATGTTCTGTGGGCTCACACGTGACTAACTTGGGCTTCTCTCAGAATCCCTCCTCTTTCTCAGAACACGTGGCTTCCCTGTTTTTCTGAGGGCTGGTTATGCAAGACATTAGAGAATTGCTTGAAAAAAGCCTGCACGATTCCTGCTGCACATTTCAGCAGCTGGAGATGAGCAAGAAAGTGAGAAAAGCCCATGGCATACCAAGTGAACACAGCAAGTGGGTGGAAACTGGTAGGAGATGGGGGGGTGGGCAATTAAAAAAAATGAAAGTTGGATTCTGAGACCGGCTCTTCTGAAGACCTTGGTCAGGATGAATGCCTGTGTTCTCTGCACGGCTTTCAGGAGTGGCTTGAGAGCCTCAGAGTAGAAATAGATGCTTTAAATTTTCCTAGAGTTTTTATCTCAGGAACTGCAGTGGCCCTGGAAGAGGCCCTTCATCCTGATAAAGGCCCTTGGAACAGCAGAGCTGTAGCCTCTGTCTCTGCAAACAGTCCAGAAGCATTGCCCATCAGGGGAAACACACGGGAGCTCCTGGCACCCTTTGTATGGGGGGTAATAGTGAAAAATCAGAAGCCCTGGAAACCTGAGACCCCCTCTGACCTACTGACCAAAAGCCAGAGAACTGTATTAAAGTGACCGTCTCCATTCACTTCCTAAATGAATAAATTGTCCCTGGAGGGGCCAGAGGAGTGCTCCCCTGGCGACTCCTGAAGGTTCACTGGAATGAGCTGAGAGCAGACGTGAGGAGAAAGGCCGTCCAGTTTATTATGGGAATCTCAGAAGAGCACTGGCTCAGTAGGTAACCTAGCGAGGCTCAGGTGTCTCTGCCCTTTCACACAGCGTGTGGGAGAGAGGGAAGATGCAGGCAAGTCCAGGAGTAATGATATTTAAGAAGAATGTAGCTTCTATCAAAAGATGACATTCCCCAGCCTCCCTTTCCAGAAGATGACTTGGAAGGGACCTCTGACAAGTCTGGGCTTTCAACAGATAAAGGGATAATGGAATAAACCCCCTTCTAGTGTCTGCTGTTAGCTAAGAGCCTTTAATTCAATCAGCATCCAAGGGTGCCGAGAGTGTGTGTGTGTGTGTGTGTGTGTGTGTGTGCTGTGCATGCACACACTGCTTGCATACAGATGTGCAAGTGAAGAAAGTTGAGCAGGAGAATCCTGGAAGTCTTCCTCTATTGCGCTGAGCCTTGTTGTCACAGGACGAGAATCTCGACAGTTTGGTTAGGCTCTCTGGTGATCGAGCTCAGAGATAGAATCTGCTTGTCTTTGCTTCGCCAATGCTGGGGTCCCAGGCACCAGCCGTCATGACTTTTTACACGAGAGCTTAGGATTCAAACTTGGGTACTCATGCTTGTAGAGCAAGCACTCTGACCCACTTGTCCCCTCAGTCCCTGGGGTGAAATATGTTGAGGACAAAATTCCCTGGGCTTGTTTACTTCTCACATCTGCTCTCTGCTCATTCCAGTGAACCTTCAAAATTAAGAAGGAGGCACACACAGACACACAGCAGTCTCACAGAGCCAGCATCTTTCGAATTCAGGGAAGCCTGGCTCTCAAACCTGGGAGCCCCCTGTGAGTGTCTCATTCTCCCGCCCTCTGGTTTTACACAGGCCTCTGTGCCTCTCTTTCTTGAGGGAATGACCACAACCTAAGCAAACTGGAAGGGCAGGAGATACCACAGCCAACCAACAGCCACATACTCAGCCTGACAACACAGCAGGAGACATGGCTCAAGTGATTGTCCCCTGACTTCAGCTAGGTCACAGTGACCCAAGGTAGAAGCCTCTTTCAAGACTTTCCCAATAGATGGTCATCAAACCAAGGTGTTGGTAGGTAAAAGTGTTTCAACCTTGCCCTGGTTTGTGAGTCTCTCACGAGGCGTTTTACAGGCGTCAGCTGTGCCGCGAAGCCCACATTACCAACATTGCTGATTTGTCTATTCAGATCAGGTCACAGTAAGAGTACCAGTTCTGCTTATAACCAGGATGGGCTTCCTTGACCTGCCAACTACAGAGTT